TGCCCTTGTACTGTTCACCATGTAAGAATTTATTCACTATGTAAGAATTCGTTCACCATGTAAGAACTTGTTCGTTATGCTTCAGAAGACTGGAGACTGATGAGAATTAGGCTTGAGATGGATTAATGATGGTGCATTGAGCATTGACCCTCCTATACAGAATTTTATTGTTGTTAACAACCATTTGATCAATAAATATGAGATGCCCTCTCAAAAAAAAAAAATCTATTGTCCTGTATTTCTAAATTCTGCCCATTCCATTTGAAAGAAAGTAGTATTTACTACTGTGCATCGATCTAATCGCTTTAGGACAAAAATGGACAAATAGGATTCTATAGAATTCAGTACACTGTTGAACAAGATGACAATTCCTCCTCATGAATTGAAAATATATCCTAGATTGTAGTCCACATTTTAAATCTAATCCCACAAATGAAACTCCAACACAGACCAAAAGCAATTCTCATTGTTAAAGGCCTACATGGCATGACTTTTTCAATCCTGTTTGTTTTGCAGTTATCTTTGAAAAATCACCATGAGGTTTTCATTAATTCACTTTGGTGAAACTTATGCACAACACACATTTCTCTGGACAATTTTGTGATAACATACAGAGTATACACACAAAATTCTGAATTCTTAAAGTTCAACATGTTTTGAAAAAAGAAAACTTAGACTCTAGGAAAAGGCTTGCAAAGAAGGGGAAAGAAAAATGGGTAAACAATAGAAATTGCTCCCTAATTTTTATTTAGAAAAAATAAAAATAAAAAAATATATACGGAAGCATTCATGCAATCAATAAAAACAATGTTTTATTTCCTGTACCAAACTCATGCTCATAGATTAACATGATAAAGCAAATTTTTTATGAATAACATATGTGGACCATTGTTTTTAATTACTAGTCCTTTTTCCTCTTTGCATCTCCTGCAGATGTTTAGCTGTTGGAAACTAAAGAGACCCAGAGTCTGTTTTCAGGTAAGATCATCCAAGTGAAAGCACCTGGCCAGTTCCTGCAGCTTCTACAAGACCCGACAAGAGAGCCAGTTTCCACAGAGCCTGCAACCCACCACTACCATCCCCACCCAGACTCCCCAGGGGATGCACTGTCATGACACTAACTGCTTTATGGTTAAGATCCCTTTAAATTCACCCTGGACATCCAGATTTTTTGTTTCCTTTAAAAGAATTTTCCATCATTTTTTCTGGAAGTCATACACCTAAATCTAGCTCTAAGTCCTTCCTTAAGCCTAATCTTTTCTGATCTGATTTATACCCCCCACACCACTAGAACTTTTATTCTCTTCTTTCACATTATGTGCTTTCCTATATTTCTTCAACAAAAACAAAAATCCAAAATCCTCCTCTTTATCTGTATTCTCCAATTTTTCTCCTTTCCTTGTTCTCATAGCCTAAGCAGACAATCACCAAAGGCCGTGCTTCTTAAACTAACGCAGTGAAAGACAACAGGTTTCTGCTTTGTTCTCTTTTATTTGCCCCAATCTATCATCAACTGACACTTTAGTAAAATACAATAAAATGAATGACTAAATGAGTTAAATAACAAAAGGAACATATAAGCCCATAAATATCACTTTTGGATATCACAGCAAAATGAACTTTTTATAAAGGTTTCTAAAAAGGTTATTTCAGCTTCCGACTTTGCCACACTCAGCAGCACTTTGTGGACTGGCTTCAGCTTGAGGGTCATACTTTCAAGAGCACTGTCCAAAGGCCTCTACATCTTTCTGTCATCCTTAGATATTTGCTTCCCATCACAAGTTGTCCTTAAAGATTCTACAGTTACTACAGTTTCTTTCAGTCCATTAGGAAATCTAACCTCACTTGTTGTCCACATTAGTATGAGACACATCAACTTTCTTCTCCTGATAACTAATGAAAACACTCTTATCTTTGGCCTCTTCCCACCTCTCTGGCAGAGCTTCTCTCTCTTCTCAGGTCTTTTTCCTTTCCCAGTACCTTAGTCTGCTGTTCCACAGGGCTCCATCCTCGACAACTGGCTGTTGTTCTTCCTCTAGCCACAAAGATTTTACTAGTTTTCCTGATTTCAACTATTATCCCTCAAAATCCAATTTCCATCTCTAACCTGAGATAAAGACAGGTTCTCCCACCAGTTTTCTTCTCTCACATAGATACTGCCACTCAAATTCATTATTCTTCCAACCCGACTTCCCTGAAGTATTTCCCAGAAGTTCTTGCATTGTCCCTTTTTTCAGCAGATACAAGGTCAAACAAAACAAAGTCTCTTCTCATAAACTGCCCAAAAGCATGTGCTTTGGGTTCAGAAAGCACTGGCTTTACACTCAACCATGAATAACTGTGGGCTAGTTAGTCTAAAATTCAGTTTCCTTATGTGAAAATCTGGTGTTTAACGTTATACCCACTTCACCAAGTTAAGTGAAATAATGGATGTGAAATGTCTGGCACATAGAAAACACTCAATAAATGTTTTTGTTCTTGTCATTATTAACTTTTCCTTCAGTTGAGTTTTTACTTGTAATATGTTACGAATAATTTTTTGAGAGCTGACAATCTGTCTTCAGATTGGATTTACAGCAATCTATTAATCACTTCTATTCACTACTTCCATGACACCATGAGATTCTAAAGCATTAACAAAAGGGAAGAGTATTGAAAAATGATTCAGACATTTGGAATGGTAGGTAAATAATCTTGCAAGCAGGTGAAAGGTAATGCACACTAAAATGTATTTAGTTTCTAGCACAGCACCTAACATGGCCTTGTCCAGTCACTTAATCTTTCTGTCTCAGTTTTCCCATCTGTAATATAGAAGTTCAAATGCATGATACATATACTTTTCATTTCTTATCTTTTTGGGCACAAATCTTTTTTAAATTTCTAACTACAAACTATAGGAAAACATAGGCTATAAATACCAGCTTTATCTGAAAGTCTTATTCAAAGTCAAAAAACACTGCTCTGTTTTAAACAAAAACTGGCTTATATATGCAAAGTCCTATATATGATACAAATATAAAAGAGTCAAAAAAATTATTGTTATTAAGAAAAAGAAATTGATATTTTATAATTTTTACTAGTTTGGCACTTCATTCATAAAACGTATGAACACAATGTAAAGTTCAGGCCAAAATATTCTCTGCTTACACCCTGCTATTTGTTTTGAACAGGGAGCAAGTTTTCACTGCTTAGTATCTATAGCTATGACTGAGCACATGCACACTGCCAGGAACTATGCTAAGCACTTTCCATTTATTAGCTCATTTAATCCTCAGAACCTTATGGAGTAAATATTATTTCCCATCATTTAACAGATGAGAAAGACGAGCATCTCAGGTTTGACTAAACTCCTTAAAAATCACACCAGTGGGGGTGGCAAGCTAGAACACAGCACCAATTTGTAAGACTCCTAAATATAGGTAGAACAGTTCACTCAATAGCCCTCCCCCAAGTCAGTTCCATGCACGTTCACACACACAGCTCTGCAAAATAATGAAATGATAAAAAAACATTGGAGACTTTAGAAGATTACATAACGAAAATGACGTCCACAGAAAAGAGAACAACAGTGCCCAACAAGAAAAGGAACCCACCTTCGTGCCCTATGACAGATCTGGAACCTGTCTGAAAGCCGACAATTCCTGCCACATTGTCATTGGCCACAATGTCCACTCGGACAGTGTCAGCACTGGGCAAAATCCTACTTCCGCCTTCAGTGTGCACCAGACTGACTAGGATGCTTTCATTGTCCTCGGGCTCGGAATCGTCCAGGATGGTTAAAATGGCTGTCCTTTTGGTTTCCCCTATAAAAAAAATTAATGGAATCAAAGCCAAAGTAATAAAATCACCAACATAGAGAATTCTCAAAAACCCCAAATTACTTTGATTTTTAAAAGTTAAGTGAAAGTATGTAAGGGAATTATGATAGTTCAGTATAAGAAGCAATATTACTGCCAGTACAAATGTTGTATGTTAATCTGTATATCCTTCCACATATGAAACACTACATTTTTATTAATATAGACAGACTATGGGGAATATTTTAAATTACAGAAAAATTAAAGGGAAGAATTATTTCAAAGAATCATGGTTTTACTCCTGGCCTTCACCCGAGAACAATGACCTAGCTAGGGAAATAGCTTCTGAAGCAACTTCTGTCTAGAAACAGCTCCCTCTAGAGGTCTCAGTCTCACTCTGAAATTACTGTTTCACTCTGGAATTACGGTACTTTCCAGTAGGTAACCAAGTCAGTAACTCCCTGAAAGGACAGGAACACTTAGGGAATGGGGACCAAAAGGGCAACAGAAAAGGGATGGCAGAATCTGAGTGGAAAAACAAGCCTGAGTGAGAAGAGTCTTTTGGTAACTAAATGAGATGACAGCATCAAATACCAGTTTCCGGGATATTGTGCGATGAGGAGGCAGAAGAGGAATTCAAAGGATGAGTGACAGCAACAAGGGCCAAATAATCTATTTTTGCAACCTAGGACCCTACTAGTACACACAGAACCCCTGAGCACCCCTAAACCTACTACTGTTTCTGCTGTTCAGCCTATGGGATCCCACAACTAGTTCTTTGCCACCTTCTGAAAAGAAGATGAAAACAGAAGAGGCAGGAAAAAGGAAAAAGGGGATATGAATATATGTTCTCTCTCTCATGACCCTGGTGCATTTCATCAATTCACAGAAACTAGAGATTATCCAAGAATTGGTTAGCCGTGTAAAATATAGTCCAAGGATAAAATTCAAAGTAATACTAATTTATATAATGCTACTACTTTATATGATAACTTTCTTTGTAGTTACTAAAGCCACCGGAAAACCTAACTTGAATTTTTCATCTCAACTCTCTCCTAAGTTTTCATCATTTCCTTTGAAATAGGGAGAAATGTTACCAATTAACAACCTGTACCCTGGCTCTATCAAGCATATCATATTCCATTATTCCCAAAGTCTCCTAGTAGGAAATAACTTTATAGAAATGTTTTATACTATTTTAAAGTTTTATTCTAAAACATAATGCTCATTAATGTTTCAAAAAGTATACTTTATATGTATCATGATCAACAATTACTGTTTCCAGAAAAGTATATGCAAAAAAATTATAAAGATACAATGAATTGTTCTGTGATACAGAATTATGAGAAACATTTCCTTAATTTTGTCTATCATGAAGTTTTTGTGAGTATATATGACTTTCAATCAGAAAAACACTACATTTAAAAAAAGTGTATGGAATCTGTTTTTGCTCAAATGAGGATTTAATAAGGATCTCAATAAGGATAACTTTCCCCCACCTAAAAAAAAAAAAAGATTTTAAACATATAGGCTTTCCAAATTTTCCAAATGTATTAGATTCAACCAGTCCTGGAAAAGAATCAGTGATTTTGACCCTAATTTGTTGGCTGAGTTATCTACAATTATTTTGCTCATGAAGATTTACAATAATGATCTCCTTTAAATGTAAGAGCAGTATTATAAACAGATGTATCAGTAGGCTTAATTTAATATGAATGAAGCCACTGAAGTCCATACTATTTATACTTACAAATTGCTTTCATAAAAGATTATCCCAACTTGTCTACTGCATCTTAAAAGTATTCCCAGTTAATACTCATTTCTCTACCAATACTTCTTATGCACATTTTTGGTTGTAGATCCATGGCTCATACTTGTAATTCCCCTTACAAGATCAGAAGTTGCCTTAGAGTTGCCTGTGTATTTCCTTAAAAGCACTGCTATCACATAAAATTCATAAATTCCCTGAAAATTTTCATGTCTTAATAACTAAAAAGATACATATATAGGACCATCTCAGTCTAAATGATTTGTCAAGCATTAACAAACCAAGTTCTATTTTTTCAAAAATCACACTGTATTTTTACATATTAGCAAAAATGTATAAAGTAAGAATTCTTATGTGCATTATCATAAAAACTGACGATAATGGCTTCACCAGGGGAACTAAAATCCATTTAGATCCATCACTCACCTTCAGCAAAAGTCAGAATGTCTCCAGCACCTATAAAATCTAAACCTTCAACAGCAGTCCCACCAACTACGTGCCATTCGACTGTCACCTGACCTAAACTGCCCCCTGTCCTATGAATCACCAGCTCCACTGAAGTTTGTGGCTGCTCCTGAACTTCGACATGTAAGCCATCTTCTGAAGTATTGGGATGAACACCATAGATCACAAACTCTCCGAAGGCGTCACCATTTAATCCTATGACAACAGTGGAAGTGTTTGGCTGCCCTATGGTTGGTTGGTTTTTAGAACTGGCTGTGATGTTCATGAGGTGAACTTCAAGGAGAGAAATTAAGAAACTCTCATCCATCTCTGGTAAATCATCAGGAAGAATAGAAACTGTGAGGTTTGCAAATTCATCGCCTTCCAGCATTGTGGCCCACTGCCTTGTCACAGGCTCATAGTCACTACCAGCCACGGCCAGACCACTAAAAACAGACGCTACCCTGGTCATGTTTTTCCTGTAGGTCCAGAAGTCTGAGTTGTTAACAACTGGGCTGATCCATGATGTCATCCAAAAACACTGGGGGCCCCCAGACGTGCTGAAAAATGAAAACGCTGAGCACGCATGTTCTCTGAGGCACCAAGTGGCACAGGTATACTGGGGCTCCCCCACTGCAGAGACATTCACCCAAGTTCTCCAGAGGGGGTCAGGTACCCCTCGAACTGGCAGTTCATAGTAGGACAGTAAATCTTGACCCTGCTCAACTGCAAGGGCCACCGCATCGATATCCGTAGTGCTGTAGAACAGCAAGAGCCGACCAAAGTGCCCTCCGCTAAAACGTGGGGTGACAATTAAAAGACAGGTTAGGCACTTAGAGTAATCTGTGAATGATATATGGAGATGTGAAATGCTGACTGTGGTTTTCATGTTTTTAAAAATATATAAAGTACTAGTATAAACATAACCATGGTTCTTAATTACATGTCATTCAATAATTGTTTTCTCATATAAGGAAAGCTTGTTAGTCTTTGAGCAAATATTTATTTTTAACCAGTTATGAGAGTACCTTGCAAAAATGCAAATCATGTCCATTTCACATTTAACAAACAGAATTAGGAAATGAGTTTTCAGTACTCAATTTTACTGAAACAAAGTAATAATGTTAACAGCATGAGTACATTTTAAAGAAATGTATTTGCCACAAGTTCCCAAGACCCCATTTCTGAAGGAGCTCAGTGAACTGTATGCTACCTCATGAAAGAAACGCAGAAAAAAAAGAACCTGAAAATCAACTTCATATAGCACCTAAGTATTCTTTAATTTAGAAGCTTAGTGCAATTAAGCTCTAATTCAAACAAATCATAGATTAAAGCAATAACTTTCTAAGATTAGAAACCCAAAGATGTATAATCTATTATCCATTTCACTAATAGGCATGATAAATATAATGGGCACTATTAATAGGCATAATTCAATTAACAAATTATAATAAGCTATAAAAAAAATCTGAATTATATAGCCACCACCAAACTTAAATGATTTAGCTCCACAAGAGATCCTTCCCCCACACCCCACAATTCCCACCACCCCACAGATGCAGGTAGTTATCTCATATACCTTCGTCTGACAGTTATGTTAGCACAGGAACTTCGCTCCAGAGGCTCTTGAACGTGATACACTGACTGAACAAAGGCTACTGTACCATAAGGATTATCATTGGCAGGAATAATAATATTTGCCACTCGCTCTAACCCAATAGTACCTCCACCAGAGGCATCAGTTAGTAGTACTTGGATGACCTAAAAATACAGCGAAAACTTCCTTAACAGAATCCCAATTCTGAAATTAATGCAAGAACAATACAAGAAAAAAAAATCAAATATACAATCCGTACAAGTATAATTATGAAATGGAATGTAATATAAATAGACTCAAAGAAACCCGCTCATTATATTTACAAACCCAACATGTAACAGAATAATCCACGTTAATTTTTAATAATACAGCATATTATACATAAGACATATAGGCTGTAATTTACTTAATATACAGTTATATAATCTTGTGAATCAATTTTAAGATACTTATTTATGTTTATCATTTCAAGAACAAACATTTATGTCTTATAACTTTTCTATTTAGGGAATATATTGCATACATATTTTATGAATAGTTAATCTATGATGTTTTATTCCCCACATTATCGTAAATGGAAATTCTCTGACAAAATTTAAAACCAAATCATCATATCATCATGCCACCTAAATGTAGAGAGAAGCAAGGGAAATGTTTTATGTGTATTAACTAATATCTAATATTTTAGAAGTGAATAATGACACAATTAGCATTGAAATGAAATTTGATACTATTGAAGAATAAATGCTATTAGAAGTAATTTTATGAGATTGAGACTTGAACAATACTTGAATTTCATAAAATTATCTGCAGCCAATATACATTAGTGATGAACCGGCTTTCCCACTGAGCCTTTATTTGCCACCTTGCTTCTTCACCATAAACAATAAATATTGGCAGATACATCTAGCATGCTGCCACGTGGTAAATTCTCAACACTCTTGAAGAACAAATGAATGAAAAAGTGGAAACCTGAAACCTATACTTAAATAATTAAGATTGGCCCATACTCACACCAATAGGGAATATGAATACAAACATCTTAAGGGTTTATATGTAACAACATAGCAAAAATTATGATAGATATATATTAATCATTTAATGAAAATGTTGAAAATACAATGTAATTGTGAAAAACAACTTTCACTAGTAAACTGGTATGTGTACAAGACCTATTCCCAGAATATTCTTATCTTTGTTATCTGCAAGGATGACTCTCAAACTACCATATTTTGAACTTTCTCCCAGAAAAAAAATTTGACATCCTATATAAATGCCACAATAACAGCCATCTGTTCTAGTCCTATAAGACAAGGTATGATTTATAGTGTCATTCTATACTAGCCATTCCTCTCACCTCTTCAATCTCCGGAACGTCGTCAGCCAGGACCTCTAACAACAAGGTTTGAATGGTTTCCCCAGGGGCAAAGGTCACATTACCTGAGACAACTCGCAGGTCGCCAGTAGCAAGCTGTCCATTAATGGTGGCAACCCACAGAACAGTAACATTGCCGAGTGTCCCAGAATTTCGAATTATTGGCAGGTTTACCTTCACTGAGTTAAACTCAGGTTCCTCTACAGTAAGTTTAGTAATCTGAAAACCTGAAGGGCAGAGCAGAGTTTATTGCAAATACAAAGTGAAACACAGAGCTAACCAAATACTACCCTAGAGTTGATTTTTTTTTCCCCTCTGTAAGCAATCTAAATAGCTAAACCTCACAAAAATCAGAGTAATGTACAGCGATATGAATTGGTCAGGCCTACCAAAACTTCCAAACTATCCTTCATTATGACAGAAGCAGAAACCAAATCTCAGACACCCACAGGGGTCAGACATATATAGACCAGTTATAAGCTAAGCAGGTCTAGTGATTTCTGTGGCTAAATGCACAGTGCAATCCTGGCTTCAAAGAGGCAGCTGTTGTTTTGCTCCTATGGTTGATGCTGTGCAGGAAAGAGGTCTCAATGTTGCCAGATTTTCCTACTTATCAAGAAATATCAGAAATATAGATTTTTGTGTCAATTTCTAAAAATTAAATTAATTTTTAAAGACATGTCTAAGATTCACTAAACCTATCTAGGAACTAGATAGGACCTAAAAGCCTGAAAGTACATGACTCCCACATTTATGCTAGAAGATTGGTTTTTCTCTTTTAATAACCATTAACCACTGCTCGTGAGTGTGCATCAGTATCCTATATATCAGTAACAGCACATTAAAAAGGAAACATGAACAGACCCATAGACCAGTGGAACAAACTAGAGAGCCCAGATATTAACCCAAGCATATATGGTCAATTAATACACGATAAAGGAGCCATGGATATACAATGGGGAAATGACAGCCTCTTCAACAACTGGTGCTGGCTACATGCAAGAGAATGAAACTGGATTACTGCCTTACCCCATACACAAAAGTAAACTTGAAATTGATCAAAGACCTGAATGTAAGTCATGAAACCATAAAACTTTTAGAAGAAAACATAGGCAAAAATATCTTAAATAAAAACATGAGCAACTTTTTCCTGAACGCATCTCCTCAGGCAAGGGAAACAAAATAAAAATGAACAAAAGGGACTGCATTGTGCTAAAAAGCCTCTGTACAGCACAGGACACCATCAGCAGAAGAAAAAGTCATTCTACAGTATGGGAGAATATATGTGTAAATGACATATCTGACAAGGGGTTAACATCCAAAATATATAAAGAACTCACATGCCTCAACATCCAAAAAGCAAATAACCCTATTAAAAAATGGGCAGAGGATGTGAACAGATAATTCTCCAAAGAAGAAATTCAGATGGCCAACAGGCACATGAAAAGATGCTCCTCATTGCTAATTATCAGGGAAATGCAAATTAAAACCACAATGAGATATCATCTCACACCAGTTAGGATGGCCAACATCCAAAAGACACGGAACAACAAATGCTGGCAAGGATGAGGAGAAAGGGGAACCTTCCTACACTGCTGTTGGGAATGTAAAATAGTTCAACCATTGTGGAAAGCAGTATGGAGGTTCCTCAAAAAACTAAAATAGAAATACCATTTGACCCAGAATTCCACTCCTAGGAATTTACCCTAAGAATGCAGGAGCCCAGTTTGAAAAAGACATATGCACCCCTATGTTTATCACAGCACTATTTACAATAGCCAAAAAATGAAAGCAACCTAAGTGTCCATCAGTAGATGAATGGATAAAGAAGATGTGGTACACTTACACAATGGAATATTATTCAACCATAAGAAGAAAACAAATCCTGCCATTTACAACAACATGGATGGAGCTAGAGGGTATTATGCTCAGTGAAATAAGCCAGGTGGAGAAAGACAAGTAGCAAATGATTTCACTTATCTGTGGAGCATAAGAGCAAAGCAAAAACTGAAGGACCAAAACAGCAGCTGACTCACAGAACCCAAGAATGGACTAACAGTTGCCAAAGGAAAAGGGACTGGGGAGGGTGGGTGGGAAGAGAGGGAGGAGGGGAATAAGGGGCCTTACAATTAGCACACATAACATAGAGGGGCGGGCATGGGGAAGGCAGTATAGCAAGTAGTGACTCTATAGCATCTTAATACACTGATGGACAGTGACTGTAATGGGGAATGTGGTGGGGACTTGATAATGGGGAGAATCTAATAACCACAATGTTGCTCCTGTGATTATATATTAATGGTACCAAAATAAAAAAGTTAATCAGAAAAAAAAAAGGAAACAAGATTAAATCAATCTTGAGTCTCTAAAAATAAAGAAATGTATAATCTACACAGCCAAGTAAAAGAGAAAAAACTAGTTTGGTTACCGAATAATCCATAGGGGTCATCAGAGGCCTCAATAATAATAATCGCCTCTGTTAATACCCCTACTTTGGCTCCACCTGTTGTTTCATTCAGCAGTTGCACAAGAAAAGATTCTTCCAGCTCAGGGTAGATGTCATTAATGATATATATTGGCACAGCTTTACTGATCTCCCCTTCTAGCAAGACCACATCCGATGAAGCTATACTATAATCTTCACCTATAAAGACAAAAAGTAAACTGCTAAGACTTATCCAAAATATGATAGTAACATTCCATACACTGGGGAAACTCTAATTTCAAATTAGTATCAAAGACAGTGTCAAATTTCATGGATATATTTGGACAGCTTTTTGAGGATATTGACTACACTTATTTTAAATAACATTTCACTTTTCTTGCTCATAAAAATGGGTTTGATATCACAGAATAATGAAAAGGACATCCAAAGGGTGTTCAAGTTCACTCTTTCATTTTTAGAAAGATATAAATATGTGTATGTGTATATGCGTGTGTGTGTGTGTGTGTATATATATATATATATATATATGTATACACACACACATGCATATATACAATTTGTTCTATTTGTCATATAGAGATAAATATAGGGGCAGGGAGAGAGACAGAGATAAGGATAGGGACAGAGACAAGTATACAGGTATGGATATAGACATAGATATAGAAAGTGATTCATTACCCCAAAATAAACCTTTATCTACAAAAGAAAAATGTGTATAATGCTTTAAAGACAAAAAATAAGATTAGAATTTTGATCTCACTGGAGAGATAAATCATACTGTTATACAGATTTGAGCATGTCCACCATCATCAATGTTATAGCTGGAAACTATGGACTTTCCTACAAAGTTCGATTAATAGCTCCTATTGCATACTGCTCAGAGTGGCAGGAGCTTTGCTCCTGGTCAAACAGTGGGCAGGGAAGGAGGAAGAAGAGGCTTCCTATGGAGCCTGAGGGCTAATTTCCTACAACTCTGATTCATCCTCCCCATCTGTCACCATGTAAGGCCTCCAACAGACAGTCAGGCATTCCTGGGCTACCCACCCCAAATGTGCGTACATGTGCACATGCACACATATAGACACACACAAACACATCCCACTCAGGGACTAGGTGAGCCTGGTTTACTATCTTTTCAAGCAAGTATCATATCGGGATGACTTATTTTTAAAAATCAAGCATGCCATCACATTCTTTCACACTTGTGTTCCTTTGAGTATATTGAAAGATTCTAAGTGAACAGCTTTTAGGCAAACCTCCTAGACGCTGTAACTGCATCGTCAAAGGCGGTGGTCTCCTGATGTTTGCATTTGGCAATGAAATTATACTGCTTATGCATAAAACAGTTAATGCTAGCCATCTTTTACATGTTCTTCATAAATAAACTACCAGACAAGATAATGGGTTAAGAGACAAGACCGTTGCCAAGCACAGCAATCATATGTCTGTGCATTTAATCCTGCATTCCACAGTATCATTTACACATGAATCTCTTAAAAAAAAAAAAAGAATACACACAGAGAAAACTGAACAATGCTTTCTTTAGTTTACTTTTCATGGGTTTTATGCATATTCTGATCATCACAGCTTTAAAGTTCATATACAATTCTGCCAACAGTTTTCACAAACTCTACAAAATCACTGTCACAGATATATGAGAAAAGCTCTAGGTTTGGGCCTTAAAAAGGAGGCAAGAGTATTATTGTTCTCTGGGCGATTTTTCTAAATACATCTTTGAATGGCTTTGTTAATGAGAGATAGGATTTCCTTCTAAAACACTTCACTGCTCCTCAGCTCTTTTCTCACCAGCTACTGCAGTCACTGGCACGGCTTTAAACTTCACAGAAACATCTGCAAATGCTCCCCCTGCTCTGGTCACATTGATAATGGGCCCAACATGATTTTCTGCCACTCGAACAACTGGTGCTGAGAGCTGAAGAATTCCAAATGCATCATCATTGGCGATGATAATTAGATGAGCAATCGTTTCTATCTTAGGCCCAAGGCGTGGAGAATTTGGAACTGAAAAACAGAAGAAAAACTAATATATCATAATTCTCAGAACTGACTAAAAGTCATCAGAAAGCGTTGGCAAGATTCCATCAGCCAAACAGGATCACCATTTGGTGTTTTCTCTCTACCACTTATATCAAAAAATATTTGTTGATTACTATGTACCAGCACTACTTAGACACTGGGGATTCAAAGACAAATCAAACAGGAAGTCCTTACCCCCTTGTAGCTTTACATTCTGGGAGGATTTTTATTCCAGAATCCTCAGCAAAGGAAAAGTTACCCTACAGGGATATCTTAATAAGTACTGGAAATTTGTCAAAAGGCAAAAAATTATTAGAGCATAACTAATCATCACTCACATAATATTACAACAGATAATGAGGAAACCTACATAATTATGCTCTCCTAATCAGTTATAAGTATATCATGAAATTTTTTAAAAACAGCATTTCAGTCACAAAATTAAGTAGAAAAGTAATTTAGCTCCTTGCCCTCAAAGACCAACAGCAAATCATCTTATTCTAATTAAATTACCACCTCTCTGCTTCCCTGTCCTGCCTCACAAATCTATTCCTCCCTGCCCCATTTTAGTTAATAGTCACTCAACCACCTCATCAGAAAGGAGAGTCAGCCTCAATGCTACCTCAACTGATACAATAGAGTGTGCTCATACTTTTAAAGCTCTCTTACTTCCCACTGATTTAAAGAGAGCAGAACTTACTTTGAGGGCATTTAGGACCTTCCACAAACTCCCTGATTTAGTTTCTGGGTTCATTTCCAAACAGCACCCTTGCCAAAACAGAAAAGTGACCTTCTTACACAAACTAAGTATCACCAAACTGAAGTAAACAATTTTAAGTCCATATTTAGAATATCTATAACAATTGATAATAAATAAAATTTAACATTTCAATTTAACCTTTTTAAAAACAAGTAATTTCAATGATATATAGGCCAGACCATGCTAACTTATGTCATAGTTAAAATCAAAAACTATTAAAAAATGTAATTAAACTAAATTAGAACAAGAGAGGCAGTGACAGAGAGAGCTGTAGCAGCAGACATTGTTTCACTGTGTACTATTTGCCAGCCACTGTTCTAAGCACTTGTCTTGTATCAAGTTATGTGATGCCCACACCATCTCCCCACCTCTACGTGGTAGGTACCACTGTATACTTTTACAGATGAGGAATCAGAGGCACAAAGATATTAAGGACATCACCAAAAGTTTCACGCTAGTACCTTGTGGACACAGTCAAGAAGCATTCTTAAGGGTTTGTCAGATCTCTTGCTCCCTATTTACAATTCCTCACCAAAACAGGTATAAAACCTTCATCTTTTACTTCTGTTCATTCTGTCCTGCGCTCTCACCCTGGTGCTGCTTGCCAGTCTTCTCACACTGCTCTCCTAAAAGTTGACGATTACACTCAGAGTAACACAGACCCTATCAGGTTCTACACTGATTTTACTTATTAAAACTTGAGTCAATATCACACAGATGTGAACTTAATTATTCCACACCATGGCTTACTCCTATACTGAATTGCCTAAAGCATGGTGCATGGTTCCAGAAACATACATACCAAGAATTAAAATTCACATTGATTGTTTCTCCCATCACACAACACACTGATATGCCATATGCCATGTTATTAATAATAATCGTTCATATTTATGGATACTAACAATGTACCAGACACTGCATGAATTTTCTTATCTGTTACCCTATTGAAGCCCCTTGACTTATTTTCCAATAGAAGCTGTTGCAACAGATCCTCTGGCCAACGGGGATCACTCCTTATTTTGCACCCCTGTTCTCAACCAATGCCTTCTTCTCAGCTCCCACAGTGCCTACAAGTTTACAGGATTTCTTTCTGCTCCACAGTCCTCTCCCCTTTCCCTCACACATGCTCCTTAACAATACAAAGGGCCTCTACTGGTTAGGTAATCTTCCAGAGTAGATCAAGACAAGAGAAGCTCAGAATCTTGCTAGCAAAATTGATTCTAGAATCTTTTGGAAGCTACTATATATATATATATATAATATATAGTACTGTAGTACTAGAGGTCAGTTACACAGAAGCTTCTAAAAATTTAGTCTGTGAATGTAATGACTTTTAAAATATGACTTCATGTTTTCAAGCGTCCCATTTCCATCTGCCTTATAAATTTTTATAAGATGGTGCTTTCAAAGTTAGAGCTTACCATTTTTATAGAATTTTCTATTATATCCAATTCTTAATTTGTTGTTTTATGATTCTTACCTACAATAATAATAATAATAATAATAATACACTAATGGTTACTTACTTGGGCGATTCTGCACTCTCTCTACTAAAGTAGCATTGAGTAGTTCAATAAACACCGACTCTGATCTTTCTGGTTCATCATCATCCAAAATTGAAATATTTATTGTTGCCTCACTCTGGTTGGCTCTAAAAAAAGCAAATCCAGAAGCTGGTGTATAGTCTCTTCCTTGAGTTGCTCTGGCTAAATTAGGTGGAAAATAAGGCAGTTTTTCCAAATCATCCAGTGTTGCATATGTGACTCTGACTTTTCCCATGAGGCCTTTTAACCGTATTATTGATAATGTGATGTTCCGCATTGCCTCCTCAACTTCAATAGGTCTCGTTTTCTCAGAAAAGATGAAGACCCCATAAGGATCGTCACTAGCCAAAACTGTTAAAGTGGCATTAGCACGAGCTCCCAAAGAGCCGCTGGAGACACTGAGGATGGACACAGAGAACGCCTTGTCTAGTTCTGGGTCCTCATCTGGCAGCACTTGCACTGTGATGTCGGCAGTCTTCTGCCCAATCTCAAATGTGACGTTGCCAGAGGTGAAGGCGAGATCACCATCAGGATCAGAGTCGATGCTCCACAGCAAAGTCACGTGAGACAGAGCTCCATGACTTCTTATAATCTATAAAATATTTAATATTAAAATGGGTTAAATAGGGATTAATATTATCCATTCAGAGGTTTGTAAATACAGAATGATAGCAGCATAGTATAGTTTTATTTATTTTATATAAGTTGTTCTCAAAAATGTAAGATTCTTGAAGCACTACGCATCTTTCAAGACCTCACCAAGCCCTACTTAAAAAGTGACTGTTGCATAAAACTACAAATTGAACAGTTTGAACTTCTTACTAAATTACTGTTGTATTTGCAATCATATATTAGTAATAAAACAAATGATTATATTTAAGCAGACTCATTAAAATATTTTATATTTACTGCAAAGATGGTATATATACTTCACAGTAAGGAGTGATATTTTTCTGAAAAGCTAGCTATAAAACTCATTCTTAAAAACATTATATTTCCTTTTATCTTCAATTTAAGGAAAAACAAACTCACTGAAGAGCATATTTGCCCAGTTTAATACATTTAAGAAGTAAAAAAATGCTTCTGTCACTAATACTCTAAGAATAAAAAGTTTTCAAAATACTCCAATAAGTCTCAAATAATAGTAACTTTTATTTATACTGGAAATATGAATGTTAACTAAAAACAAAATTTGAGACAGGGATTTTATAAAACTTGATCCTTTCCCTTCATTCTTTTTTTTCTTTTTTGGATAACAAGTTAATCTTTTTAAAGTTGTTTAAATTATTCCACAACAGTATATTTGAGTACAGAAGGGATATATTTTGAGTGATCTTTCTTCATTATTTGTATAAAATCCAAGGAAGCTGAGGCAAGCCTCTAAGTGCTCCTTTCAATTATTTAACAACAGAATCCTACTTAATTTCTACTGGAACAAAGCAGAGGAGTAAACACACACACACACACACACAATAGAGAGTTATTAGTATTGGTGTTAATATTTTGGAATTTCTTTCCTTTTGGAGGAGAGGTAGAATTGTATTTCTCTACCCAGTGACATTAGGCATGTCCACATGACTTGCTTTGACCAATGAAGTGTAAGTATAAACGCTGTGCATGGCTTCCACAAAGAAGCTGGAAGAGAAAGGATGCAGTTCTCTCAGTCCACATCTCCCCACTTCATGAAGATAAGAAGGCCTGTTGAGTGTAGCCTCTGTAAGCCCTTGACCCATAAGTGACTGATGACTGCCAATTTAAACTGGACATATACCAGGAGCAAAACACAAATCTGTGTTACATTGTCACTGAGCTTCAGAAGATGTTTCTTACCACAGCCTATGTGAAATTATACAAAATTCTACTAAAATAACTCTTGTGGTACAGCTCCATTATATTCTTTAAGAGCCAGGAAAATTCTCAGAATCATGGTGAATTTATGTACAAAGCTAAATACAAAGAAAAATGCCAAATCACTTTTCAATGGTCAATTTGTATTGTCTGTGCCACTACGCTCATTCCCCTTCGACCTACATAGGAAAATAAATTGACATAAAGCATACCTTCATAATATAAGTTTTCTAAGAACAGAAAGCATCTGAGACTGGAGGAAAAATGTACTCACATTTAACACAACAGTGCTGTACCCATCTTCTGGCTCCGTTCCATTGACAAAGAGTGACTCAGGGCTAAATTCAAATATACCATGAGCATGGTCAGAAGCCGCAATTGTCACTAGAATTTGGGAAGCCACTCCTAGGCTGGCTGCATGAGTAAATTTGAACAAGAAAATGTTAATCAGTAATTTACAAATCAAATGAAAAGCCAAGGAACAACTTTTTGAAGACAGCTGTATCATTCATGAGTATGTTCCAATTTGTTTTAGAAAGAAAGGCAGGCACAAATGGTTGCCACAATATTCATGCTTTTATGACCTTTCTCTATTCTGGCACCAATGTGATATACAAGTGCTGCTTAAGCACTTGGAGAAGAATAAGGGAAAACTTGTTTTTCCTTATTCTTCTCCATGAAAGAGAACATTCCTCCACGCAGAGCACATGCAGAAAGTCTCCCACGACCTTTGCTGAACTCAGAAGAACATGAGCCAAATGACTTTTACCTTTAAACTGAAACAGCAGCTTCCCTGGGATTTTCACCAATCTGACTTAACAGATTCTTGGTTTCCAGATGTGCATTAATTCTAGGCCTATTTTTCATCATATTATGATATTGTAGATCACCCTCTTCTGGCCCCAAACAGTCCAATCTTGTAACTAAAAAGGTACCAATATCTACAGACGTACTTAATGTTTTCCTGATAAGTGTGTTCAACTTTTATGTTACATTAATATACGCAAACAAAAAAATGAAGAATCCTAAATGCAACTGAGTAATTAAATACAAGTTTACAGGAGGCACTGGTAGAAGTTAGGAATGAGAGGACTAGGAACATGAGTTCTAATCCTAAAACGTAAAGCCAAACATTGTGAAAAAAGAACATTTGAGAATCAGAAAGTTGTCCCTCAAAAAATAAGTATTCTACACATTCTCTCCTCCTATGAAATAATATTTGAGGTAAAATGCTAAATCATGTTTGTGTATGAATCTACTTCAAAAGGCATCCTCTTTTCAATATTCCCCCCATTAATTGGCAATTTTTCTCCCACGTGTTTTAATTAAGTGCTACATTAAACACTCATGGTTCTTTTTATAAAGAAAATAAGCATGATGTATTTAACGTGAAAATACAGATACTCTGTCTCTTTTTAGGTGTTCAAAGCTATATAAAATGCTTTTCAAAGAAAATTATTTTTATAAGAGATATTCAAGCATTTCTATTACAATTAGAATCAATTAACTGCATGAGGCTCCTACAAAGAGGAATGTCTAGTCTTTGAAGGCAGAGGCAAGAACCTGACTCTGACTTGATCACTTCCTAGCTGGGTGACTATAATACTTTGAAAAGTTGATGTTATGGTTAATGAGATAAAATATGTTAAGGGCCTGTACATAGTAGGTATCAAAAAAAATGGTTAGTATTGTTGTCTCTAAAAAGAAAAGTTAATAAAGGGCCTTGGAACAGGTGCTTACCACGTCTGTGAATAGCTGGAAGGAAGAAGTCCATGTCCCCATCACCACTACCACTGCCATCAACCCTAAAGAGTTCAGTCACTTCACAGGAAGACACACAGAGAGACAGCCCACACAGCACACAGTGACACAATGAGAAAATTGAGAGCTCTTAAAACTTATCCAACAAAGAGCAAAATGCAGTAATATTCACCCAATGACATACATTCTTCCATGGAAAATTAATTATTTTAAGCAGTGAAAGTATAACGTATAACATTAGTCAAGCTACCAATTAACAAAATTTTCATTCATAGCATCAGGAAATATTCCATAAAAGTTGTGTTTGGTATTTCCCATTTCTGCAAATTTAACCAGTTTTATTTTTAAATTTTCACTTCTTGCAGCAATGTGATTTGTTCTTAACATTTTAACTATTTTTAAAAGAATTTTGTGTGCATATAATCATGTATTTAGGCCTATATGCCTATGAAAATCACCCTGCCACTCACAACCACCAACTAAAATTTAGGGGAATGCATCTAACACTCCAGCTGCACATTCAAATTCCCACCATATCCACCATTCACAGGCTTGATTACCCTTTTGCCCCTGACACTGTGCAAAGAACCCTAGACAGGCAGTCTGAAAAACTGCTTCAGCCCTGGCTCTGAAAGATACCAGCTGTAAAGCCTTCAACAAATCACACCTCTTAGTACCTCAGTTTTTTCTCACCTATAAAAGGGGCTGCCTTTTTTAAAAACTGCTGTAAAGATCAAATAAATCATATTGTGAAAAATAAAGTACATAGGCAATATATAAGGACTATAATAAAGATAAAGTGGCTTTACCTTCACTCCCAATACATCTTACACTCCAACCATTATTTTACCAAATGCCTGCAGACAAAGAAGACAAGGACAGAGATGGCAGCAGTGGAAAAGCATAGGAGCAAGAGAGGCCAGGCCACATCCACACCTGTGCAACCCCAGCAGTAGCCTTGACTGACATGCAAGGGTAACAACTGCCCTGCTCTTCTGAGCTTCCGCTCAACAGGACTGGGATATACCAGAGAGGAGAATTTATGGCACCCAATACCTAAACTCTTCTTGGAACCTTAAAAGGCAAATGGATTTCAGGGAATACCCAGGGCATGGTTATGCCACCCATATTATCCACAAGTTATAAGAGAGAGAAGTTCAATACCAATGCACTCTGCCTAGTGCATGACATCTATTCAGGTGGCCATCTTTCATAGACTGCTTTACAGACAAAACAGCATTGAATAAGGGTTGCTCCCTTGACCCTCAAAGGAATTTAGCTATACAAGATATTTCACTTCTTAAGCAGTCTCTAGCTCTGACTCAAGGAGTGGAGGCCAGGGTCTGGATTCCTTTACCTCTAATCCCAATTCACTGAATGAAAAGTCAGATTCTCTGCCACTACAGCTTCTAAGAAACTGCACGATTTGTTTTCCAATGAGTGCTCGTGCCCAATTAATACACAACAGTGGGACATGTGTGAAGAAGTTCATATATAAAATCGTTATGTATTACTGTAATTACAAGTACTATTTCTGAAGAATATCTGATGTTCCTTATTAACCAATATTAAGTAATGATCACTAACATTTTCTCTACTACATAAGGATTTCAGCTCCATGTGATATAAAAAATAACTTTTCAAATATTTTAACAGTGACCTTTGATAAATGAAGTCCTGTCATGAAAATGATTCAGAGATCTGAGGACCTGTTTCTGGAGCACAAAAAAGCTGTTATTTTTTTATGCCACCTGCCAAATAGGTTGCCCAGCATATTTTTACTGTTGTACACAGCCAACCGAGCTGTGGTGCTGTTTAACCATTTCCCTGGCCAGCCTCCTTTGCTTTCACCCAGGTTTTGGGAACACAGAGAAGGGAAATATTGGAAAACTTTGCATACTTAGCCTAAAGTCTCACTACATAGTAAAAGACAATTTTAATATTTCTGTCCAACCAATTCCCTCCCTTTGGATGGCTTTCATAGTACTCTGACTTTCTTCATTACAACATTAAGACACAGTAAGATAATAATACCAGGTTTTGCAATAGAGGGAATTGTCTTCATGAACACCATTCCAGCTCTCAGTGTCTTACATATATAAAGTAATATGACGCATATCACATGTATTCTGTAACACACCCTGAAGCACCTGATAATCAGACACACTTCTGCAAAGAAACATATAAAAAGTTTACCTAAATGGGATAAAGATTATAAATAGCCTCTCTTCAATACAAATGAGTTTTGCCACAAAACGAATTTTGACTCCAAAAAATATTGGTAAGAGAAGCTTTTTGAATATCAGCATTAAGGATAAAGGGGTGTTGACCTGTTTGATTGATAATCACCTCCTAGTAGGTTACCTAAAAGGACTAGTTTTTAACTGTGCTATACCTGAAGATAGCTCTAAAAAAGCTACTGTGAAAATTGAAAAAGGAAGAAAGGAGAGAAGTGAGTTTTAAGGGCACCTAATATGAATGACAACTAAAATTAGGTGATTGATACTGTACAATTACACTATTTCATTCTAAAAGCACATCACTTTAGGAAACAACAATGGATAATAAAAGGGGGGAAACAGCACAATTGTGGTGTCTTTAACATAAACATTAGAGATACTAACTCAGAATTAACCAAACCTCACTCCATCAGAAACTGTCTACCATATAGTTAAAGTAATTATTAACATTCAGGCTGCTCTTTCCAAAAACTAGTCATTCATTCATTTAAGAAAAAAGTAAGGTTAATTAAAAGGATATTTCCTTAAAACAATCTATTATCATCATGGTCTGGGGACAAGCAAATACTTGATATTTTTGAGTCACCAGTCTTACCTCCTCCCTCCAAGTTTAGCAATTCAACTTTAAAAGATTTTTCCAATTCAGGTATAAAATTATCAGTGATGTTAACAGAAATGTATTTATATCTTTCTCCTGGTTGAAATTCTAAGGTACCAGCCACACTCTGAAATACAAATAAAAGATTCATCATTAGATTATAATTATTCTGTATATGAATGCACAAAATGAAGTCTTCTCCATGCCCCAGACTGATATACTGAAAAATAACATAACTAAAATATAAAATTGAAAACACTTAAGTGAATAGAAATAGTGCTCGATATAAAGTTTAAACAAATATTCTCAAACTAAATAAAGTAGGTGGATTTTTTTATTTCTCTTATTGCCTATTCATCAAAAAAGTACTCAAAGCAAATGAAAAATCTAAATAGGTAATATCCACAAATTTCTAAATTAATTCAATGATGTGCAAAGAACTCTCCTGACCAAGTACATTTCAAACTATTCAAATTATATCATTGAGTGATTTAAATATTCAATGCATAATACTGCCATTTTCATTCTGACAATTTTTTCAAGCAATAATAAATATCAGTCTATTGGGCATTAACCTTTCCCTGATTATACTTGTAGCATGATACAGATTCACCATCAGAAAAGTTCACATACAACAAGAAAAACAAAAAGTTACTTAAATTACAAGTCTTAAAACCCTTTTTCTCCTATTCTCTCTTATATGAGCATTTTTACCTCAATTCATTTATAATTTTTTAAATTTCTCTAGTGGTAGCTTGTGTGGACAACTGTATTTCATCTTGTGGAGCTACTAGTGATCTTAAAGCTAAATTGAGGAACCCAAGTACCATCTCACTTATTCATTCATACATTAACTTTTTAAAATATTTATCAAACACATTGCATGTGCACACTATCACCTTAGATGCTTGGGATTTGAAAACAAGCAAGACAAATCTCTAGCCCCATGGAAAACATTCCAGAAGGAGTGTTAGGCATGTAATAAAATAATTTGAATAGAATAACTGCTTTACAAGGTGTACATTTAGATCAAGAGTAATTAACTTTGCCTAGAGAATAGTTGTCAGTGGAACAATTCTACAAGTTTTAACAACAGAAATCACATTTGACTGCTACAGGAAACCATCTTACTTGACCTTAACAAGATCTTACACAGTTAGCCATTTCTTCTTCAGGAAACATGTTCTTCTCTGGTATTCCATATCACACTCCTATTTTTCCTACCTTTCTAGCTCACCCATTCTGAGATTCTTTATCTATTTAACATTGTCCTGATGCCTTCTAAAAACTATTGTTCATCAGACTCTCTCTAGACAAGGCTAGCGTATACTAGGCTTTTAATACTACTTACATGCTCCCAATTCCCAAATTTCTATCTCCAGCCCCTAATAACTTAATTTGGATCTTAATACCTATTTAAAAGTTTTCTTATAATTTCTGCCAGAATTTTTAATTCATGATCTTCCCTTAAAATCTATGCATTGCCCAATCCTTTCCACAGCAGTAAATTAAATTGTAAAACAGCAAGTTGCTTATGCCCAGAACCAGGGAGTCACTTTGATACCCGTCTGCTTAACACTAACAATCTTCAAATTCTGCCATTTTCACTGTTAAATATTTCTTGAGCTCACTTACTTCTTTTCATCTACACTATTATGTGCTTGCCCCAGGATACTATCACCTCTTGCCTTGTTCCACAGAATGAACTCCTTACTGGTCTTTCTGTATCAAGTGCCTATGTCTTCTAATCCACTCTGCACAGTTTAGCCTAATGACCTTTTATAAATATGTTAACACCTTTCAGTTACTTCTCCTTTGTTTCTAAAATAAAAGCCACAACATGTAGCATAATCCCTAAGGCTCAGGATGCACCAGTCCGAGTACATTTTATCTTTTATCTCCACACCTGGCTCTCCAAGTTCCAGAAACATTGGTCTCTCTGTTCTTTCCGACAACCTGTGCTCCTCCCTACATTAAAGCCATCTTACTATTTCACTCATGCCATTCTACTAGTCTCAAGTAATTCTTCCCCCTTCATTGAATTTGCTAGTTTTCCCCTACTTAAACTTCAGAGCCTAGCAGAGATATCACTTGCCCTCCTCCTTAGCCACCCAGACTATGTCAATACCCACCCCTCCCCCAAAGTACCAACTCTGAACATTTCCCTCAACCACGATTCAGTCATTAATTAGTGTTTAATATCACTCTTCAGAGCTGGAAGTAAGCCCTTAGCAGAGGGAGCATCTGTACCTTGGTTTATGAGAAGCAGGTTAAAAACAGTGGTATCTGATACTCAAATTGTCTCCTCTTCTGCAGATGATCCCTCCTGGTATTTCCGCTCCATCCCCCCAGCAAATACATGCACATATACTCACATACACAGCCTAAAAACCCAGACTTGTACGCTAACACAGAACAAACAGAACTGAAGCATCACAGACAAGCGGTGATGTTAGACATCATAGACAAGAAGGCAAGTTAATGAGGTTTTTAGGGACAAGCAAACATAATTGGTTCTAAGTGGGAGCAGGTCCCAACAGGCCATCTGAGCACCCCTGGAAAGCCTCATAACTGTCTCCAATGGTTACTAGCTTTCTGACAGTCATGGAAGATGGCAGTGTAGGTTTTTTGTTTTAATTATTAAAGAAAATGATAATCCAACTGGAGATTGAGGGTGTTCATACTACCTAGAAACTGAAGACCATCAAGTTTAAGGACTGAAGTATTTTTTTAAGAAAATGCAGAGAAATAATACTAAGCCATGTTGAAATGTCTTGTGGAATATATTACATACCAACTAATTCAAAACCCAAGAAATGTCAAGGTGAGAGAAAGGTAACTTGCCCAAGAAAAAGAGTTTGAGAAAGAGGAAATCTGAGTAAATTTTGCTAACTGGATTATAGCCAGATTAACTGAAATCTATTCAAGGTTTCTGAAGTTCAGCTAAAAAAGTATATACAAATCACTGAAAATGCACCATTATGTGTGTCTTACTAGAAAGAAGGGGAAAAACAGGAAAGCTAGTGTTAAATTTAAAGAAAAAGACTCTTTAGAAAAACAGAAATGTTGAAGGTTATAAAATACTCCCTAAAAAGTATAGCTGAGGGGAAATGAGTATTTGCATAATATGAGTATTGCTGATAATAAGCACAAGTAGTGGTTACTAAGTGTTACTTTGTAGGCACCATATACAGTACACAACACTTCAATGCTGCCATTAACCCTTGGAGTGATCCTACCCGGTAGATTATTATCTCTCTCTTATTATCTCTTCCTTACTGAGATTAGGAGGAAGATTGAGTCTCCCAAGGCCACACATTGAGCAGATGGGTTTAAATTCAGTTCTGTCCAGTTACAAATTCTAAGCCTTTTTTTTTTTTTTTATGGTGACAAATGGTAACTACACTTACTGTGGTGAAGATTTTATAAAGTATATAAATTGTCTAATCACTAAGTTGTGACTAGTCTAAAATACTTTAGTCCTTAGACTGATGGTCTTCAGTTTCTAGGTAGTCTGAACACCCCCAATCTTCAGTTGGATTATCATTTTCTATAATAATTAAAAAACCTACACCCCTATCCTCATGATTATCAGAAAGCTAATACTGATGGAGTTCTGTACTCCTGAAACTAATATAATATTGTATATCAACTATACTTCAATTTTAAAATTTTTTATTAAAAAAAGATAGGGACATAATTTCTTCATAATTTTAGTTTTGTTTGATGGACAATTTTGGTTTTGTTAAAACAAGTGAGAAACATAACTTTACATATCTGATCAAAAGCTGTAACATTAAAATAACACAAATGAAACCTATGACACATATAAACTACAAGAGAAATCAGTAGGACAGCTATTTAAGTGACAGGCTTCAAGACTGTAGTACTTTATGTAAATTTAAAAGTTGTAATGCCATCAGTGCTTATTTTCCTTGTTTAGCATGTCCCGGGACAGTGCAAGTCCCTTCCAACCCTCCCAGAGGACTGTGTCTGTTTTATAAGTGCAAACATTGCTTCAAAGGAGCAAGGGATTTAATACCTGGTAGTCCTCAGGACTGAATGCTGTCAGGGACACTGTTCTAAATTCTGCCGTAACCCTCCCCAGGAGTCCCTGTGCGCGGACGATCAATAACCTAGCTTCCCCATCTTCCTCCTGCACAGTGATGTGCGGAATGCTGCTTGCAGGCAGGGTCATCGTGTCCTCAGGCTGGGGAGGCAGCCCTGTGGAGAACTGCAGCAAGCCTGGGAGATACAAAGAGAGGCAGGGCGTCTTGCGCCAGTTATCTGTGGAAGAATTTCTTATTCATTTGAAACAATCTTACACAATTACTCTGATCATCAGGATAAAACTCTGAGAGCTTTTACACAGAACAGACTTTTAGTGAAGACTTGATAAACATGCTTTTGACATGGAACGCATTAATAGTTTTCAGAATGTTGAAAGTTTAAATGATAGTTTCCCTTGTCTCTACCCAAAGAAAGTTTCCTTCCTTTTTTACTTTTTTTACAGAGGTATCAACAAAAAGAATGGTGATGGAGTTTTAAAATAAATGCATTATGAAACATTTACTCATATTTGACTCTCAAATTCATTTTTAAACTTACAGCAGTATATGACTAATGGCACCTAAAAGGATTTCCAACACACTTTTAAAAAATAACTGAAAATCAGAGTTGAACAGCCTGCCAGGTTTTCTATACAGACCTCTCAATAGATGTTTTTGCTTTGTTCCTACCAAAGAACTTCTCCTTTTCAATGTAGAGAACAGTCTCAATTTATTAGGACAAACATCTAAGACGGTTCCCTAATTGAGAATGTTATCACTTTTTGGCATAAACCAAAAAGAAATTAAAATAAACAGTGATGATTCCACTTCTTGAAGCTTAATAAAGTACTTCAATTAGTTAGGTGTTAACATATCACAATAGGATAATTTTTAAAATAAAAAAATGTGATACCATGAAGAGAAATACTTTTTCCATTTTAAATTATCTTCATATACTTTTCAAAATATATACGAACTTCAGAAAGTAATCTTCATTTTTTCCTTTATATGGGAAACTATCATTAAAAGCTGCCTCAAAATGGCAGCTTACAGGTTCAAGAGCTTACAAGTCAGAGAGTCCAAAGGTGGTCTGCTTCAATTATTTGCAATAAAGACCTTAAGAGGTTCTCAACAAGACCAAGTAGTCCCGGAGCTGAGTGTATAAAAGTGTTGGGTTACCGTATGGATGATCACTAGCTTTGACGGTGATATCTGTCACTTCCTTTTCAGGATCTATGCTTGCACCACTGGTGGGAGTTGAACCTAGCTTCCCATCTCCAGGAATTGCAGAAACCAATGTCACACGGAAATATTCACTAAGTTCAGGAATATCATCATCAAGAACATATATATTCAGGACCTATAAATATAAAAATCCAGAGGCATTAGGCACTGAGACATATAGAAATTATTTTATCACTTACTGGAAGAAAACAGCCAATTAAATTATATTTCATTGAAGTTACTATTTAATGTGACTTATTTCTACACAAACATTAAAACCCAAAGGAAGAGAGATCTGAGAAAGTAATTCTTTAAACAATAATGGGTACTAAGCAGTAACATTTTGTCTAAATATCATGTTAATATCATGCCATATATAACATTGACATATTATATATATCTGTCAATATTATATCATATATTCTTTGTACCAAAAACAGTGGTATTACCAACTTCCCGGTACTGAGTTCCTAACTTAGGAACTCGTGCTCCCTGAGAGGATGTGGCAGGGTAGTAGGAAAGGGCAACATACGTGACTAGTTCCTGACTAAGGAAAGCCTGACATACTTACCATAGCATTTTACAAAACAGATTCACAATAGGTCTCAGAATTCTGACATTAGCATGAAAGAATGAGGCACACAGGGAACTACAATTAGATAACTAAGGCTGGAGTGGGAGAAAAGGCTGGGTGGTATCAGGAGTCAAAACATAGGAACCTTTTACGTTGTCATAAAAAAAAAATGCTCCATGGAGTGGAGCAAAATTAAAGAATCATAAGCAGGAGACTAACAAAATGAGAATTCTTAGAATAAATACCATGGCAGGGTAAATGGAGTGGAGAGAGCAAGAAAGGATGTCATGGGCTCAGTTAGGAGATGACTACCCAGACATAATGAAATCTTGAACTAATGCAGGGACAGTGGAGATGAATAAAAATAGATGGATTTGAGATTTGTTCTGGAGATCGAAGAAGACCCAGGCATTGATGACCACTTAGTGGAGGGAGTAAGGAGAAAGGAAGGAAGAGTACCTTCCTGGTTTCCCCAAGAAGGAGGATGAGGACAGCCTGAAACAAACTCTCACTCCAAATGCAATCTCCCAAACACTAGTGATTGGGCCTAAAGGCAGCTGAAGAACTTCTTGCAAGTGTAGGTTTTCTATTTTGGATTCAGTAGGTCTGAGGTAGACTATGAATTGGTTTTAATGTTCACTCTATCAGACTTTTAATTAAGAAAGGAATGCATGGCACAGCCAATGTGCTCAGAGAAGTGTAAAAATGACACCTACTACTACCCAAATCATGTCATTTTTCTTGAATTAAAAAGAATAATGAGCAGTCTGAAGATTTAAAATGTCTTGCTCCTAGAAAGGAAGCTGACAATGTTGCCAAAACATCAAGATATACATTAAAAATCATAAACAGAATTCTTAAAAGCTTTGAAGCATATCAAAGTAATAATTTGTTTTAGTGAAATGAAGAGTTTGAAACTGAAGATCTTCTCAAGGCATAAAAAAATGTATTTTAACAGTAATAGGGGGCGGAGCCAGGATGGCGGCGTGAGTAGAGCAGTGGAAATCTCCTCCCAAAAACACATAGAGCTATGAAAATATAACAAAGAAAAATCTTCCTAAAATAGAGACCACAGGACACAGGACAACATCCAGACCACATCCACACCTGCAAGAACCCAGCGCCTTGTGAAGGGGGTAAGATACAAGCCCCAGCCCGGCGGGACCCGAGCGCCCCTCCCCCCGGCTCCCGGCGGGTGGAGAGAAACCGGAGCAGTTTTTTTTTTTTGGCGAGCGCTTTTTGGAAGCCTTAGAGGGACGGGCCCCCGTTGCTGGGGAGGCAGGGTGGCGGGACCGGTGAGGAGGTGCCTGGGAACGGCGCCGGAGGACAAAGAATATCCCGCGTTTCTCCCTGCGAGACCTGGGGGCGGGTGCCTGAGACCGGTGCCTGAGGACGGAGGAGGTCGCGCGTTTTTCCCCTTTTTTTTTTTTTCTCTTTTTGGCGAGCGCTTTTTGGAAGCCTTGAAGGGACGGGGACCCCAGTGCTAGGGAGGCACGGTGGCGGGACTGGTGAGCGGGTGGCTGGGACCGGCGCCTGAGGACAAAGAATATCCCCCGTTTTTCCCTGCGGGACCGGTGGGCGGGTGCCTGAGACCGGCACTTGAGGACAGAGGAAATCGCGCGTTTTTCCCCTTTTTTTTTTCTCTTTTCTGCGAGTGCTTTTTGGAAGCCTAAAAGGGACAGGGACCCCGGTGCTAGGGAGGCAGGGCGGCGGGACTGGTGAGCGGGTGCCTGGGACCGGCACCTGAGGACAAAGAATATCCCGCATTTTTCCCTGTGGGACCGGTGGGTGGGTGCCTGAGACCAGCACCTGAGGACGGAAGAAATCGCGCGTTTTTCCCCTTTTTTTTCTCTCTTTTTGCCGAGTGCTTTTTGGAAGCCTTGAAGGGACAGGGACCCCGGTGCTAGGGAGGCAGGGCGGCGGGACTGGTGAGCGGGTGCGTGGGACCAGTGCCTGAGGACCAAGAATATTGAGCGTTCCTTCCCTGCGGGACCGGTGGGTGGGTGCTTTTTGGAAGCCTTGAAAGGACAGGGACCCTGGTGCTAGGGAGACAGGGCAGCAGGACCAGTGCGCGGGTGCCTGGGACCGGCACCTGGGGAAAAAAAAAAAAAAATCGCGTGTTTTTTCTTTTTTTTTTCCTTTCTGTTCCCTCTCTCATTGTTGCTGTTGTTGTTTTGGTTTGGAGAGTGCTTTTTGGAAATCTTAAAGGGGCAGGACAGGTCACTTAGACCAGAAGCAGGGAATCTGGGGATCTCTGGGCACTCTAACCCCCTGGGCAGCAGGGAGCACAGAGGCCCCTTACGGAGATAAATAGTCTCCTGGCTGCTCCCCCTCCAACGGGGCTCCACCATTTTGGAGGAACAGCCCCAGCCAGGCCAAGCCCACAGCAACAGTGGAGATAAACCCCAAAGCAACTGGGCAGGAAGCAGAAGCCCTGTCTGCGCACAGCTGCCCAGCACAAGCCACTAGAGGTCGCTATTCTCCCAGGAAAAGGCTACAAACCAACAAGAAGGGAAGCTCTTCCAGCGGTCACTTGTACCAGCTCTGCAAACTATCTCTATCACCATGAAAAGGCAAAACTACAGGCAGACAAAGATCACAGAGACAACACCTGAGAAGGAGACAGACCTAACTAGTCCTCCTGAAAAAGAATTCAAAATAAAAATCATGAACATGCTGACAGAGATGCAGAAAAAAATGCAAGAGCAATGGGATGAGATGCAGAGAAAAATGCAAGAGCAGTGGGATGAGATGCAGAGAAAAATGCAAGAGCAGTGGGATGAAGTCCGGAAGGAGATCACAGATGTCAGGAAAGAGATCACAGAAGTGAAACAATCCCTGGAAGGATTTATAAGCAGAATGGATAAGATGCAAGAGGCCATTGAAGGAATAGAAGCCAGAGAACAGGAACGTATAGAAGCTGACATAGAGAGAGATAAAAGGATCTCCAGGAATGAAACAACACTAAGAGAAATATGTGACCAATACAAAAGGAAAAACATTCGTATTATAGGGATACCAGAAGAGGAAGAAAGAGGAAAAGGGATAGAAAGTGTCTTTGAAGAAATAATTGCTGAAAACTTCCCCAAACTGGGGGAGGAAATAATCGAACAGACCATGGAATTATACAGAACCCCCAACAGAAAGGATCCAAGGAGGACAACACCAAGACACATAATAATTAAAATGGCAAGGATCAAGGACAAGGAAAGAGTTTTAAAGGCAGCTAGAGAGAAAAAGGTCACCTATAAAGGAAAACCAATCAGGCTAACATCAGACTTCTCAACAGAAACCCTACAGGCCAGAAGAGAATGGCATGATATACTTAATGCAATGAAACAGAAGGGCCTTGAACCAAGGATACTGTATCCAGCACGACTATCATTTAAATATGATGGTGGGATCAAACAATTCCCAGACAAGCAAAAGCTGAGGGAATTTGCTTCCCACAAACCACCTCTACAGGGCATCCTACAGGGACTGCTCTAGATGGGAGCACCCCTAAAAAGAGCACAGAACAAAACACACAACATATGAAGAATGGAGGAGGAGGAATAAGAAGGGAGAGAAGAAAAGACTCTCCAGACAGTGTATATAACAGCTCAATAAGCGAGCTAAGTTAGGCAGTAAGATACTAAAGAAGCTAACCTTGAACCTTTGGTAACCACGAATCTAAAGCCTGCAATGGCAATAAGTACATATCTTTCAATAGTCACCCTAAATGTAAATGGACTTAATGCACCAATCAAAAGACATAGAGTAATAGAATGGATAAAAAAGCAAGACCCATCTATATGCTGCTTACAAGAAACTCACCTTAAACCCAAAGATAAGCATAGACTAAAAGTCAAGGGATGGAAAAACATATTTCAGGCAAACAACAGTGAGAAGAAAGCAGGGGTTGCAGTACTAATATCAGACAAAATAGACTTCAAAACAAAGAAAGTAACAAGAGATAAAGAAGGCCACTACATAATGATAAAGGGCTTAGTCCAACAAGAGGATATAACCATTCTAAATATATATGCACCCAATACAGGAGCACCAGCATATGTGAAGCAAATACTAACAGAACTAAAGAGGGAAATAGACTGCAATGCATTCATTGTAGGAGACTTCAACACACCACTCACCCCAAAGGATAGATCCACCGGGCAGAAAATAAGTAAAGACACACAGGCACTGAACAACACACTAGAACAGATGGACCTAATAGACATCTATAGAACTTTACATCCAAAAGCAACAGGATATACATTCTTCTCAAGTGCACATGGAACATTCTCCAGAATAGACCACATACTAGCTCACAAAAAGAGCCTCAGTAAATTCCACAATATTGAAATTCTACCAACCAATTTTTCAGACCACAAAGGTATGAAAGTAGAAATAAATTCTACAAAGAAAACAAAAAGGCTCACAAACACATGGAGGCTTAACAACATGCTACTAAATAATCAATGGATCAATGAACAAATCAAAATAGAGATCAAGGAATATATAGAAACAAATGACAACAACAACACTAAGCCCCAACTTCTGTGGGATGCAGCGAAAGCAGT